CCGCACGGCTCGCTTCCCCTGTTTTTCGTCCGTATTTCGATCCCCACTACTATTCTCCTCATGCGCCTTCCCTGACTATGCCTAGCATACCACCGCAGGGGTCACGGAATTTATCCCGCACGACACGACTCGCTTCCAGGGCTCGGATATTTTATCCCGCGGCCGGAAAGTGGGGACGACGCGACCATGGTGGGGACCAATAGTTGGTGGGGGTATGCAGTGATACGGGCGAAAAAGAGGGGAAGCGAACCGTGCGGGATAAAATATCCGAGCCCTGCTCGCTTCCTCTGTTTTTCGCCCGTATTTCGATCCCCACCAGCGTGCGGATAATTTTTCCCTCGGCCGAAAAGTGGTGACGACGCGACCATGGTGGGGACCATAGCGTTGCGGAGAGCTTCGCGAACGCGCATGTGCACGTATGAGGGGAATAGTAGTGGGGATCGAAATACGGGCGAAAAAGAGGGGAAGCGAGCCGTGTGGGAAAAATTATCCGCACGCTGATCCCCACTACTATTCCCCTCATGCGCGTTCGCGAAGCTCTGAGAGCTTAGCTCTCCGCAGCAGGGTTGAGATATTTTTACCCACGACGCTCGCTTCCCCTGTTTTTCGCCCGTATTTCAATCCCCACTACTATTCCCCTCATGCGTGCTCATGCCATAGAGATATTATAGATAGAGTACAGATACCATAGGCTCGCCTGTAAGTGGAATTGATACGCTGTTAGAAAGAAAACGAAGTAGAAATTTACTACCTCTCTTTGTTTAACAGCAGCAGAGCGCATGCTCTGCATGCATACAGCGTACGTATTCGAACCCATATACACCTATATGAGTACTGCGCATGCGTCGGTAGAGAGAAAGAGGTAGTCATTCTCGTGTTCCTCTCTCTTTCTATTTGCGACTCACGTTTGCGGTTGGCTTCTGCACTCTATGTATACTATCTCTATGGCTCATGCACGTTCGCGAAGCTCTCCGCAACGCTACCGTGAAAATCACTGCATACCCCCACCAACTATTGGTCCCCACCATGGTCGCGTCGTCCCCACTTTCCGGCCGTGGGAAAAAATATCTCAACGCTGGTGCTACCGCTACCTAAACCTAAATTGCAAATGCAAATAATGTCAAACAAAATATTATACATATGATTTAAAACAGTGCTAATTGCTTATAATAGTTCCAAAATTTAAATTTTAGCCAAAGTATTGATATCTCTGTAGATAATCTGTAGAGAAATATATTTCTTGACTTAAGTACAGAGGTTATATATGTGTCCTTATGTCTCTCTGGCAGTAAATTATTTACCCAATTTCGGGAACTGACAAACGGAATATACATTCATCCTAAGGTATAAATCCAAGTTTCGTTGAAGATATACAAGATAAAAAAATACAAAATTTAATCCTTCAATTTAACTTGTCCCTTTTGTAGATCTTATTATAAATTGCCTTAAAATGGTATGTGTACCATGTGTAGCAATACCAATATTGCTCATTATATGGAGATTCCTAATACGACCATTATTTATAAAATTGTGGCAATTAAGAAATAAGCAAAATGAAATAACAAATGATGAACCTCCGCGATGGGTAAAAGAATGTAAAAATGGAGTCTGTACATTATCATGGGCAAAAGGAGAAGATAAAAAAGCAGATTAAAAAGTACTGAAATCTTATTTAGCTATGTGAAAATTATTTTAAATATTATTCACTGATTTCTTTCAATCTATGTAACTAAGTCTTATATTCCAGCTTATAAAAATTTTAATGGTTGTAAGTGTAAATTGTCTTATTTTATACAAATCATTTGTTATTGTTATATGTCAGTAATGTGCAGCATATATTACTCCAAATAAATTAAATATTATACGTGAACTTATTTTACATCTTAATTCTGTACATCCAAATACCAAAGTATATTAAACAAGGATTGAAAATAGCTGTTTTAAACTGTTATATACCAGCTCCGACTAACTAATAGCTGTTATTAGATACATGGGTTCAGATTTATATCAGTTTCGGTTTCAGTTCAGTAACTATTATATGTTAGTTTTGTATTTCAGTTCTTTGTTTCGCTTACCTACGGTTGTTTCTAGTAATAAGTACATATTTTCTTTAGTGACCGAAAGTCTTGTGTGTAACTCCATGACTCTTATCACCTGCTACATGAAAATTAAAAATTCTAGTTGAAATAGCGTTAAAAAACTAATTACATATTAAATATCAGTAGAATCGATATAATATTAGTTCCGAAGAACCGAAATCAGAACCGACATATCTAGTAATTGCAGTAGTAACATTTTGTCATTTCTCGATAACTGTTCCAAGAAGCGAAAATTATACCATAACTGTTTTCAATCTTTACTATTAAATGTAGTTGATTTACTTATATCCTATATAGCTATATGAGGTCCAGATATTTTGAATTGACTACTCCATTTTTTAAGAAAATGTGAATATCAGTATGTAATAAAGAAGGATATCATGTTTATTAGTTTTCGATACATTATCACTTAACAAATATTTAAAAAGTCAATAAAATATTTAATGTACATTCTTGAGTTCCACTTCAAAAATTAATGTATGTTCCTGAGTTCCACTTCAAAAATTAATGTACTGTTGCCGGGAATAACTGGTGGCGAACCTTTCGCTCCATATCTACAACAAATATATTGTTTTATAAAACTAATTTATAATTTTTAATTCGCAATCAGTAAATACAAAATTTACAATTCAATGATACATACGCCATGGCAGAAGGTATTGTAATACGTCGCTTGCCTCCAACCTTCATTCCAATGATACCAACATCCCATCCCTTGATTACTTCGCCTTTTCCAAGCCGAAATTTGAAACCTTCTCCTTGTGTAGTTGCATCAAATTTTTTACCATTTTTCAATCGTCCCACATAATAGACTGAAATAAATTTTCCGCTCTTTGCAAGAGGCCCACTACCTATTTTTAATTCTTCTATTTGCACTCCGCCTTCGACTACTTTCTTTCTCTGTTCACTTTGGGCATTCTGTTGTACTTGGACATCTCCTTTGTTTTTCTTTTGTTTTACTTCTTTACCGTTAACTAATTTTTTATCTTCTTTCTTCTTTTGTTGTTTTTGTTCAAACTTTACTTCTTCATCTTCTTCATTGTCTTCATCCTCTTCCTCGTTCAATGATTCTTCATCCTCTTCCTCTGATTCATCAGAATCATTTTCTTCATTGATACCATCCAGTTCTATATCTTCATCTGAAGATTCTACTTCAATTTCTTGTTTCAAGCGCTTAGCTTTATTTTCATTTTTTAAGGTATCTTTAGGTTTTCTCTTTGACTGTTTCTCAACTAATTTAGGTGCTTCTTCCTCTTCCTCCTCCTCCTCATCCTCTTCTTCTTCTTCTAATTCATCAGAATCCTCACTATGTATCAAGTAACCAGTTAGATGTACTTGACCATGGCCATGACATACAAAGGCAATTGTAGTTCCTTCTTGAAAATTTAAGTCAAGTGGTACTTGCCACGTTGAACTTTTTTTTAAATTACATAATAAATAACGGGTATCTTCATAATACAATATTACTTGAACGACACTATCATCTGTAACAAAATAAAATTTTAAGTACCTACTCGCAGTACTTGTAAGTAAATATTGCAATATACATTTGTTTAAAGATATAATTAATTTCAAGTCTTTCATAAATGCTATTTATTTAATTAACCGAAGCAATGGACTACTTCGACTATGTTAATTCTAAAAAAATATGTATAGTTTGAGTTTAGAATATAACGTATTTTTTCATTTTACCGGCTGTTGTAAGATTTAAACTGGCCATTGACACGTGGAATGCTTTCTCGACAGTTTGCGAGTAGCGCTTATTTGGTTCAAGTATTAAACCTGAGAAGAAGGAATTACATGATTATTATTATTCATATTTTATATGATATAATTTCAAAGAAATATCGTTTGTATAAGCAGAGATTATTTGTCGTAAGCACATGGTGACGCCATTTTAAAACACTGTACCGGCGGAATTTGGGAAACCGTGATGCATTATCATGTTTTCACGGATTTCACTTACCCCAAAACATTTTATGTGTGTATTTATTTAACTTTCAAACCAGTATATTAACAATTAAATTGTATAAAATAATGATGTACATATATATATATATATTATGTGCACGAAGCTTTATACAGTGTATTACAACTATCAGGTACCACTTGCAACCTCGCGCCAACTCGTAGTAATCGTAAAACGAACGTGTAGAATCTGGTAGAATCTAGAATTCTTCAAACAGCGCTGCTGTGCTGTTTCAATGGACCTGAAGGCAGTGATGTAAGATTTGCGAAATTTCGATCACAGCGCGTCCGGTGAGAAAAAGTGAAACTCAGGTTCCAGAATGCAGAATTTGCGGAATTTCTTCCGCCCGTTTCCTTGCCGTTCATCGCACATGGTTCCATTCTATAGAAAGGTACTATTTCTTAGCTTTAAAGAGATGCTTTGCTATGTTCCGGCCTTCTACTAAAGACGGCCGTGGTATTGCCGTTGACCTGATATATATATATGTACAGCTAGTACATATACGGAAAGATTACACGTGTTTGTACTTTGCGCGCGGCAAGCTTCCCCTGCATTCTGAAACCTGAGTTTCACTTTTCCTCACCGGACGCGCTGCGATCGAAATTCCGCAAATCTTACATCACTGCCTTCAGGTCTATGTATGGGATACGTTGGGCCAGAGAGTTTCTCTCTGGTTGGAGTACGATTTTCTTGGTTTTTCTGACATCTGTGTTGACTACGTTGGCTACGTTCATTTGGTATCGTTTGTGGAATTTTTCTATTATGTGTGATATTAATTCTATCTAGGAAACAGTGAAGTTATATCTAAATGGTGTTTTGAATCTTTATATTAAAAAATACCAAAATGATGATGGATTACTTTGTTACAAATAACTCGTTAGCACCTGCACCAATGGGTATTCAAAGTACCGCAGGTGCTGTACCTGTAAAAAATGATAAAGGTAAATGATAAAATGAGTTAATGTTATTTTTTGCATAATCTCTCATATAATTTTGATTATCACATTCTTTTCAATCCATTTTTCTACTAGGCGAACTTTCTATGAAGAAAGTGAAAGTACATCGTTATGTTTCTGGTAAACGTCCTGATTATGCACCAGCAGCGAGTTCAGAAGAAGAATCTGAAGAAGAAGATTTTCTGGATAGACGTGCACATAAAAGTTACGAGGAAAATGATTTGAGTACTGATACACCTGCACAATCACAAGCTAAAGTACGTGACGAGGATGATCCACGCATTAGAAGATTAACACGTTTAGAAAAGCAAAAAGAATCTAATACAGAAATTCGTGTGGAGAGACATAGACATATACACGAGCCAGAATTAGTCGAAGTTGAACCTGAAAGAACTCGGGAAAGAATTAAACTAGAAAGTTCAGATTCGTCAGAGGATGAAGAGTTGTCAGATTCTGAAATTGAAAGAAGGCGTGAGGCATTGAAACAAAGAGTTTTATCTAAAAAAGGAAATGAAGAAGAATTAATTCATGCAGACGAAGATGAAAGGTCTGCTAATACCTCAGAAGAAAGCTCAGAATATGAAGAATATACCGATTCAGAAGAAGAAACTGGACCAAGGTTGAAACCAGTCTTTGTTCGTAAAAAAGATAGAATAACAGTAATGGAAAAAGAAAAGGAGGCAATGAAGCAAAAGCAAGCAGAGATTGAAGCCAAAAAACTGGCTGAAGAACGAAAAAGACAAACTCTACGGGTAAATTGAAATAGTATATATAATTATTCAATCAATATTAGGTTAAACCTCTGATTTTTAGAGGTAGGTCAGATCTCATCGTACTTCAGTATAGGTGTTTGTTGTAGCATTATGTTACGGACCTGACGAAACATAGTACCTTCACAAGTCTCACAAGATACTATTGATTTAGATTGATTTGCCCATAAGAATGGTTTTTTTAATATAAAGGAAGGAAAATAGATTTTCGCTATCTTATGTTATACGAGTTTCTAAAGGGTCTGATTGTTAGAATTATAACAAAAAAATATTCTGCTCGTACATTCGGACGGTGCTTCTACTCTCCAAGTAGTAAAAACATGATTTGTTCGATTTAAAAGTAGTGATTTTGATCTGGCTGATCTTTCAATTTGTACGAAAAAATAATCTACCTACTTCGAAAAGGATGATACAAAAAATTGTTTGATTCCACAAAATGTAAATGATAAATGTAAATGAAATAATATCGCATTTCAAATTAGGCAACAACTTTTACATTCATCCAATAGATATAATTTTAGTTTATATTTATTTGTTAATTTTTATTCCATTGTATAGTTAGTAGAAGAAGTAATCAGAAAGGAAACACAAGTTGGTAAAAATATCAGCGAACAGGAAGGAAAACTTGAAGACGTTTGTACAGATGATGAAAATGATGAAGTTGAATATGAAGCATGGAAACTGCGTGAATTAAAGAGGATTAAACGTGACCGCGAAGAACGAGAACAGTGTGTATTATTAACAGTGCACAATATTGATTTGGTGTATGATGTTTTCAAATGATTTCTTTTTTATAGGCTTGAAAAAGAACGACTTGAGATTGAACGTGTACGTAACATGACGGAAGAAGAACGAAGACAAGAAGCGCGATTAAATCCAAAAGTTATTACGAACAAGGCAGCAAAAGGAAAGTACAAATTTCTGCAAAAATATTATCATCGTGGAGCTTTTTATCTGGATAAAGATGACAACATATTTAAACGAGATTTCTCTGGAGCAACATTAGAAGATCATTTCGACAAAACAATCTTACCCAAAGTTATGCAAGTGAAGAATTTTGGACGCAGTGGTAGAACAAAATACACTCATCTAGTTGATCAAGACACTACTCAGTTTGATTCACCTTGGATCTCAGAAACTGCACAAAATTTAAAATTCCATAACAATCAAGCCGCAGGAATGAAGCAAATATTCGATCGACCATCATTGAAAAAACGGAAAAGTGATAATTAATCAAGATGTTATAATTTCTCCATTTTAATAAAAGTAACAATAACTATTTAAATAGATTTATAAAATATAATTTTTACTACATTGCATGTTTATAATGATAAAAATAATCCTAAACAATAATCAGTAAAGTGTCAACTCTTTGGTAATCGTTGACCTTGGTATTATTATAAATACTAAGAACTCTTCAGATCAAGGGTATAATCGTAAGAGACGTTAAAAAATCGTATTTTCTATACTACTGATACTTGGTCCTTGGGCTAATGTAAGAATACATTGTTAATTTCTGTGCACAATTTTATCATGGTACCCTTCATAATTCGCTCGTGGAACCAAGTACATATAATCTCTAAATAATTTAATTATATCCTAATTTTTATCTAAATTTTGGGCAACAATTTTTGTAAAGCCTGTTTTGCAGCAGCACATTTAGCTTGCTTTTTATTTGCTCCAAATCCATGAAAAACTTGTTTTTTTCCAGCAATAGTTACTTTTAAAGGTACCATAACGATATTTGTAGTATCAACAGTACTTGGAGTTCTGAAAAAATATAATATAATACTTTTTTTTATAAAAAAAGATAAAGGAAAAAATAAAGAAAAATATTAAATAATATTTCTTTCAATTGAACATGATAAAAATAATCCTACAAGGATTTTTCAATTGAATTTAAATGAAAAAATATTAGTAACATGATACGTACAGGAATTCTGGCTCTGCGCCTTGAGTTTCGTATAAAACACGGATTGGCTGTTTTGGAATATTTCTACTAAATTGATCTATATGAAAATGTTAGTGTTAAGTTAATATATAAAACGTATAATTGTTATTTATGACAAAACGTCTCACAGTTGCTTTTGTAACATACATACCAATTTCTTTATGCATAATGGAATATATTATTTCCCAAACTACCGAAAGGTTTTTATTACTATCTAAATATATAGCACCTATTGTAGATTCAAATAAATCTCCTAAAATCTTAGGGACATCAACATGTTCAGCCATATTACATTCATCCTCTTCCAGTAAAATCCATAAAAGCTGTAATAGTTCGAACATATTAGCATGTTTTAGTAAAGCTCTCTAAAGTCCTCTCTTCTCGTGTACTACTAAAACAAAACCTCTCTCTCTCTTTCCGTTTCTGTTTGCTTCTTGCTTCAAGTTTTATATCTTATATACAACAAAAACTTAAGAACTATAATCAGTTCGTGACGCTAATTCTCGTCAATTTTTCTGCTTAACCATTCCCATCACCGTCCATCACAATTTAAAGAAAACGTCTCCCCCTCCCATTTGCCCCTTAGATCTTTACACCTCACGAATGCTCTGACCTCCGTTTTCATTGCACTCTTCACTTAATCCTTTCCTCAAATTCATTCCTTCACTAAAGTTCTCTTACCTTCTACAAATCCTTCCTAGTCGTCTCTTCACCCAATTTTATTAGTATGTATGTATAATAATATTAGCATTTTTTATTAATATCAAATACCTCATCATCAACGACGTGATTCCTTTCTTCTTGAAACTTTACAAAACGATGTATGATGTCATTCATTAGTGGAGAATAAGTCAATAATGCAGTATGCAGTCCATGACGTACTGTTAAGCAAGCAAAGGTAATATTATTGACGAGAGCAGATCTTAAGTCCGTTAAAGCACCAGGGCTTAAATTTCCACAGTTCTCATAAATATAACAGGTAATTAAAAAATCTGAAATAATACATTAAGTTAATTAATAATATAAGATAATAAATTTATTCAATAATTATCCATTTGGTGATAGATATCCGCTCATATTAATTTTTGAACCATAAATACGCTTACCAAGTATTGCATCACCAAGAAATTCTAATCGTTGATAACATTCTGTCACATTATTTGCTGTATATGAGGGATGCGTAAATGCCTGAAATATAAAAATTAATTTATTACGTTGCTGCCATAAATTTAGTAGTATGAAACTTCACAACATGCTCAATTAAAAAAAAATATTACTTGTAGTAAGTATTGTCTATTATTAAATTTGTATCCAAGCTTTGTTTCTATACTGGAAGCCCAGGGCATAAAAGAATCTATACTTTCCTTATTGATTAAAGGAAATTCTTGTTGTCCAAACAGTACTTTTGTGATATCGATTTCATTCGGTATAATTTGAAACCATTTCAATAAAGTTGCAGCATGTTTAATACCCATACACTAATAAATTATAAAATCATATGTTAGAGAAAATGGTGCGGATAAAAACATGTTTTCACACTTACGTTGAGATATACACCAATCAGTGCTTCTATGCAATCAGCTACTGTTTTATCAGACATTGCTTGCACGCCCAAATATTGTTCCATACCGGTTTGCAGTTCAGCTGTCTCCCAATTCAACACCTTTTCTTGTATCATGCATTTTGTGTTTTCGCTTATAATACCACAATGTTGTTCATATTTAGATATTTCAATTTCGTACAAAACACTTGGTGATACCTTACAAAATTACGTTTACTTTAATAAACGTATCATTGATTTAAATCTAACATATCCGATACTAATTTTATTTTGCATATTAACCCGTTTACTTGAAATCAGGGATGATTCAGTTCATCGTAATTGTTTCGATCCAAATTAATATATATCAGTTTGAAACAGTTATTTTCGGAACCTTCCTAATCTCTGTTTGAAGTAAACAGTATGCAAAAAATAGAAATTTTGTGAATTTCAAGGGGACTAGTTAAAATAATACAAACCTCTTCATCTAGTAATAGTTTTTGAAGTTCTCTGAATACTGAATAAGCTGGAGGAATGAAGTTGCTTGAAGGTACAAAACTATCAACTTTCATACGACCAGGAATATTTTTACTAATTCCACAATAATAAAGATTACGATTTCCAATTATTCTTCCTTTTAATGTTGTTAAAGAACCCTCATTATATGTAGGAAACATGTGATATAAAAGTGCGGAGATAATAAATTTCAAATATGAATCTCCTAATGTCTCCAAACGCTCTAAATTAAATCCATCATTTCCCAATTTGGTTGTCAATGCCTATAAAAAATTATTTTCATAAAGTAATATTTAGATTAGACAATTATGAGAGATAATTATTTAAACAAATAAAGAACCTACTTACATGCATAATTTGGGTAGGTTCAGGACCACGCGAATTTTTTAATGACAATAATTGTATAGGAGGCACTGGTACTGACGGTTTATTTATGAAATGTATTTTTTTAACTCTCTGTAAATCCACAATTTTGATAAATATCACGCACGTATTTCTTATCCACAAAAATTTATTTAACAAAATAAAAATAAATAGATATAAATTGTGAAGTATTACCATTTCGTGATTATTCCTATCAGTTGTTCCATTTATGAATTGACAATAATGTTCGATTTGAATCAGTTGGGTGTCTTCGATGTCTCTGTACAAATTTGGTATTTCTTGATCTTTTGCCCACAGATAATGATAAGCATCTGTAGTTGATATTATGAAAATAAATAATTCAAATAGGAATCATTATGATCCTAATTTAGATAGATTAGATTAGATTATTTTAAATCGATAGTAAAATATAATTATGCATTAAGATAGATAGGAAAGCATAATTATGCATACATCGAAATAAAAAAGAATTACATACCATGGTCCATTTCTGCTTCATTTAAAGCTGAGACCGTTCGTTGTGAAGTATGAACTGTTTCTGGTTCAATTTCTTTTTCCTCAACAGTTATTACTAATGGGGCCCATAACACATCACTCGTTGGCAATCCTAATCCAGCTTCTAAAGCAATGGTATATCTTAAGTCTTCTGCAATTAGAAGTTGTGATAGTCTGTGCAAAATAGATGGTAATGTTCTTGCTTTTAACCAATATACGGATGGAAAATTAATTCTAGTGCATAACTCCGGAACTAGGTGCTCTTTCAAATTTTTAGATGAATTTGTATTTTTGCGTCTCGTCGATTCGGTACTCATGCTTCTGTATACAAAATAAGAATTAATTTTTTTATAAAAACAAATTTTTAATGAATACGAAACATAACTGTTTGTTACCTGGGTAATATATAAGCGGATACTCTTGGTACCATTTTGACTTCTAAGAGTAATTGATTTAAATTATTTATGTTTTTATCATATTTTTCCTTATAATAATGAGCATATGTCTCGTAATTTTCAGTTGGAAAAATTGAGCTCGGCGTAATATCATCGCAAACTTGGGTAACGATATACGTATCGCCTCCTCTATAACTTGGAGTAACCACTGCCAATTCATAATCACAACTTTTAAAGTTAAATGGAACTGATGCTGGTATATATTCAACTTCTCTACATTGTTTTATGACCTCCCAATTCATCTTCCAAGTTTCGTCAACTAAAAGTTTATAATTAAACATAGAACAATTATAGATTTGTAAATTTCAACATAGAAACAAATTACATAGAGTTAGTATTTTACAATTAATGATGAATTATACTCGCCTGGCACAATCAAGAAACAATTATCCAGATTATAGTTATCAAATATTACAAAGGATTTTACTAGTTGAAGAACTTCACTAAATAACAAAGTATGAAAATTCTTTACACTCCTAATCTCTTCTTCGGACAAAGTTAAAATATCATGATTTACTTCAATGGTGATATTTAGTTCACCAAAATTCATAAAAATTGGAAAAGATGGAATCTGTAAAAATACAAGAAAGGAATAAATTATGCTCACAAATGTATAAGAGAATGTAATGTATAAACACAACCGAAATATATGAAATAAACCTTATTTATATATGTATGTAAATACATACCTTTGACATTTTTTTCGAAGAAAGTATACCAAAAGTAGTAGAATTATGAAATATATTATAAAATGCTAAATGCCGATTATCATCGTATGGCATACAATAGTTGGGTGTTATGTTAATTATGTGAAGATATGCTGCTTGTTCTGGACGAGGAAACGCAGCATATAAAGCTGATGGAAACTATAAATAATAAAAATTGCAGGATACTAAACTTATAGTTCCTTAATTTGTGTTAAATAATAAATTTTTTCGTACTTCCAACTTATGAATCCGTTTCTTCTTCTTTGTACCAATTTTTTGCAAAGTTTCCGACTTTTCATGAATCCAGTTCGGAAATAAGTAATTTACGTTCCAACAAAGCGAATCTGCTGTATGTGGCATTAGATTATCAGTTAGTTCGCCACATTTATGTAATTCTATACACATTTTCAAAGCAGCAGATCTTTTTGCAAGAACAATGGTACGCATCGAGTCTCCAAAAATAGCATATTTTACGGCAGACATAATTGGTAGTTTAAGAGAAACCTGAAAAGTATATAACATATTTATTGTATAACTGAAGATAATAAGTAATTAAGTAACAGGAATACTTTCTTTACCATACAGTACCTTATATTCGACCTTATGTTCAGCATCAATAATTTTATGGAGGGACCATGTAGGTACTAAATATGCAAACTTTGATCGCAGTAACAACGCGCAATATGTATTTATTAAACTAATTGCTGTCTGTCCTGTTATACACCGTTCTACTCCATCTTTACCAAGAACAGTATATGGTTCTATCTCATGTTGATACAATTCATTCTTTATTTCTGCATCCGTTGGATTATTACGTTCGTGCGTCTTACCCACCAACAGCTAGTTAAATTTGATAAATTTTACCGTCCTCAATAACAATGACATACTTAAAAAACAAATAAAATTAATGATACCTGTTGCAAATGTTTCTCTGTTTCTTTGAACTGATGATATCGTTTTAAATAACCTTTGTCATCATTGGGCACTAATAATACATATTTACTAGTTGCAAACCGAGCTCTTCCTTTACTTTGAATGTAGGTCCTTACATCCATTGGTAAATCATATCTTACAATTAATGTACATTTTGGTATATCTATACCTTCATCAATAACATCTGTTGCAACAATACAATTTGAGGAACCATTTCTAAACCTAAAATTATGTGTTAATTTTATATATGTTTTACGTAATAACGAATTAATCCTTCGCACTCCGAACCATCTCGGACGTTACCAGCTAAATAATAATAAAGCTAAATAATCATTAAGGAATAAGTTGATTCCCCGGAATCACTAATAAACTTTCATGTCCCCTCAGAGGAGACATCCGAGTGGTACATTGGAATTACGATGTCGCCTCAGATGGGACAGCGGAATGCAAAGGGTTAATATACTAGCAATCGAAATAATCAAGTGTTGAAAAGGTTCCGAAAATAATTGTTTCAAACTATTGTATATCGGTTCCAACCAAAACAGTTACGGTGAACCGGAAAAATTTTACAACTGTTATTTATTAACTAATTACATACTAGATATCATAAGGATGTTGATAAAACCAAAATACAGATCCGAAAAATAGCAGTTATAGAATCAATATAATATGGATTCCGAAGAACCGAAACCAAAACCGATGGAAGTCAGGATTGATATATCTAATAACAGTTACGGCATTTTTTCTATGTAACTGTTTTAAGAAACGAAACCGATGTCATAACAGTTTTCAACGCCTGGAAATAAATAATAGAATGATACCTGAGTAAAGCTTCAGTATTCCATTCTGCTATACACTGTCCTTCTTTACTATTTTTATAGGGATCATTTGAATAACCAATTATAAATTCTGGATGCAAGAATTTATACTCGTCATTATGTTCAGATAGATCCTAAAACAATTCCCACAAAATTACAATATAATGAGAATATAATAAATTCAGTGTTAAATTTATGAATTTGATGTGTAATGTTACCTTCAATATCTGATATAGTACTTTTGCAGTAAAACGACGTTGTACAAAAATGATACAGCAGAATTGTTGATTATCTGTTATTGAAGTATAAAAATCTTTCAGTACCGCAAAAAGTTGTCGAATTTGATCAGACGAGTAACTGAAATGCCATTATATCAATCATATGTTATTATAAATTATTTCAAAGTGCAAATCGTAGCGTGTATTAACATAATGTAAAATAAAAAATTAATTATTTACAACAAATATAAAATTAGCTTACTTGTAAATTTTCTCCACTGTTGTAATACCTTGCATTTCTTCTTCTAATAATTTTCTACATTTAGCTACTTCAGTTATGAGAACATCATGAATATACGAAGTTTCCTGAATATAATACGTTAGATGATTCACATTGGAAAAAATCATTATATGTTAAGTATTTACATACCACAATATCTGTCTCCTTCTTTAAACACTCCAACTGAATCAAATGGAGTAATGTAGATTTACTTGCCCCATAAATTCCTAAACATATTGAAAGTTCATTAAATCGCATACTCAAGTATATGTATTTTGTTCCCAAATTATATTACAAATGTACCTGTATTTGAAAGTAATTCCAAAATGTTTCTTAACATGCACATCAATTTTTTAGTCATCGATTTTGGTCTAAATTCTTTGCTTGACTCGATATACTTAAGACTGTCTTTTAAAATAATATTTTCTAATATTCCATTTACATCATTAATTATATTATTTATATGTAAACCAATATTAGGTACAGTATATTTGTTGTACAATACGATTTCTTCCGTTGGTTTAACATAATAATCTTCAAGTAATTTAGTCGATGTCATTACTTTTGCATTAAATGTAACTTCCAAATTCTATAGCAAAGTAAAAACCTTTAGTTCCTTTGTAGATGTTATACACATTATGTTTGCTCTAGGAACAATTATATGAGCACATTCACCTGCACAATTGTTTCCACTTTTTCCAATTTTATATTAGAATTTAATAAACATGCTGAAAGACCTAACACTTTTGGTTGTTCTTCTTTAGGACAATTTTCAAATAATTGCATTATTTGTCTCATTGGATGGTCATTTACTGCTCTATGACATTCATCAAAAATAATTAAATTTATTTTGTTTAAATTTATATATCCGTGACAAAGTGCATTCACTAATATTTGTGATGTCATGACAAATATCTGCAATGCAATGCAATGCTCATTTTTATTAAACATGTATTTTCTATTTAATGTACATTTCATGATATAAATCAAATAACTATTTAAATAAATAACAACAAAGAACATTATGACTGTAGTGCCAAACATCGGAACTGAAATTGTTGGAGGAAATACGTCGAAGTTGACCGCCGATTTTTTCAAATGAAAAAGTTGTTCAAAATCATGTACTTTATCACTTATTACAGTCTTATCAAAATTGGTGAGGATGAGGAGGCAGCCGCTCTACAAGTTGACATAAATAAAGATACAAACAGGACTCGAATATTTGATAAGTAATGGTAACCACTTCTACAATGATGATAGTTAATAAATATCATACTGAATAATACGGCGGAAACACATGCATTAGTCATATTTCTATAGGCAGGATACAATGCAGTGCACAGGAAGTTTCTTATTAATATCTCATAAACTAAAAAAAGCACCTGTGGCTAAAATTGTACATTCAGCATTCTCTTTCTCCTTTCCCTTAAAAATTTCAGTTCATTCTTGTTTGAAGTTTGAATCATACACTACTATGTACAATATTA